AATTGCAAGTACTACTTGTAATACCAATCATACTACTAGTTTCAGGCACTACTTGTACATTATGAGCATAGTAAAAGTAAAAGGCAAATTAGGGCAAAAGGGAAAAAAAATCTAGGCCAAGGGCTGCTAGGTGGCGCCATAGTTCAGCGAGCACTGGGCCCGGAGTCAGGAAGACACACCTTCCTGAGTTGAAGACACTTACTCAGACACCTACTAGCTTTGTGACCCTGGGCAAGTCACTTAACCCTGTTTGCCTCAATTTCCTCATCTGTTAAATGAGTTGGAGAAGGAAAAGGCACTCAAGTGTCTCTGCCAAGGAAACTCCAAATGGGGCCATAAAGAGTCAGATGCAACTGAACAACAGAGTGAGAAATTAGAGAAGAGAGATCAGTTTTAGAGAGGCGGGGAAAGGTTTCAAGGAGGCCTTCCTGGAGGAGAGGGCCCTGGGTTAGGCCTAGAAGGAAGCAAGAGATGGAGATTGAGCCATTTCAGGCTTAAGGAAGAAGTGTAAGCAGAGACACAGAGATGGTAAAAGACAGGATGAGATTGTGAGAGTGTTCCTTCACTTGGATCATAGATCACAGAATCACAGGTTCATGGCTGAAAGGGGTCTCAGAAGTCATAGGGATCATAGATCTAGAACTAAAAGTTACCTCAGAGGGTTGCCTAGTCTGACCCCCTCATTTAAAAAATGAGGAAATTGAGACTAAGGGAGGATAAAAGATGTGCCCAAACTCACACAGCTGGTTAAGTGTTGGAGTAAGAATCTGAGCCCAGAACCTCTGATGCCAAAGCCAGCACTTTCTCCACCCATAACTCTTCAGTACACAATGGTAAACTGTATGAACTAAAGAGAAAAGGAAAGGGTGGTGGGTGTGGGATTGTGGAGGGAAGGCCTCAAAGGCCTGGCAAAGAAGTTTGAATTTGCTAGGGGAGCCAATGAATGTTTTAAACCCTGTAGAGTGACCTGGTCAGACCTCTGCCTTAGGAAGTTTACCCTGGTAGTTTATGAATGATGGACTGATGAGACACAAGGCAGGAACAGCTTAACTAGTTAGGAGGTTCAGATCTTCCCAACCTTGGAATATTAAAGCTGATATGGACCTTAGAGAATAGAATAGGTTAGGAGCCCACTTAGCTCATTGAGGCAGCCCCACTAGAAACAGCCTTACCTACTGACCGATGAATCCTTTCTTCAAGCCTCCACCTCTATCCCATGAGGCAACTAAGGTCTGACTGACCTTCACACCAGCCATTGACACCCAAGTTGACTATGTCTCCATTATTTAGCTGACTCCTATCACCACCACCACCACCAAGGATAACTGACTTCTAGGACTATCTCCACTCACCCCCTACCTGCTTACCTCCCCCCCAGCTCCATCCCACAAACACATGTACATCAGCTCCCCGATGGTTATATCCTAAAGCAAACACAGCTCCAGAATTCTGTGGGTAATTCTTTGAAAGAGAGGAAGGAATAATGGCTTGGGGGCACCATTGGGAAGCATGCCAACCCAGATGGCTGGGAGGAGATGGGAAATTTGTAGACTTTGGGACCACTGTGGAATTAGGATCGGCAGGGAGTGAGGGGGATGAGGGAAGTGAGCAGCTCATGGTATACTCTGCTCCTCCCACAACAATATTCCCTGCTGGGTGCCTTCAGTGAGGGTGGAGTGGTGAGACTCCCTGAGATAAGAGAGAAGTTCTCTTCCCACCCCCAAGATAACCTCTCCACCTCCCTTAGGCCCAGATTGACCAATATGTTGGACTGGTGAACAATCAGCTGAGTTACATCAAGGCTAAGTGAGTACCAGTGTGTCTGTGGCTCTGGGAAGGGCACTGAGGCCTTTTGGGTGGGTCCAAACGCCTTCTCTCTCTTCACTTGGTCCCAAATTCCGTCTCCATCCTTACTCACCCCCTTCCCAAAGAACTAGTGAACACCTCCTGTTTTCCCACTGCAATTCCAACTACAGCCACTGGATGGCAGGCACGGAAATGAGCCTGGACCATGGTCCAAGCTATGACTGGGAAACAGGACGCTCCAGTCTGGTTACTCATGGTTTTGTCATTGACTGACCCTGTGACTTCGAGGCAAGTCCCTTCTTCTCATCTTTAAAATGAGGGAATTGGAGCCGATGATCTCTGAAATCTCACTAACCCCTACGTTCTGTCTTTGAAGGTCTCCCCCCCAGCTCTAATGTTTTCTGTTTTATTAAGGGCCCTTCTGGTTAGCTCTGATAGTCTATGTTCCAAGACCCCTCCCAGCTCTGACATTCCCTGTTCTAAGGTCCCTCTCAGCTCTCCATCACCTGTTCTAAGGTCCTTCTCAGCTCTGACATTCTCTGTTCTGAGGCCTCTCCTAGCTCTGACGTTCCCAGTTCTCAGGTCCCTCCCAGTTCTGATATTACCTGTTCTGAGGCCCCTCCCAGCTCTGACATTCCCTATTCTAAAGAACCTCCCAGCTCTGATGCCCTATGATTCCTCCACATCTAAATTTAGCAGTTATAATATGTATGTGTGTGTGTTTATGTGTGTACACATATATCACGTATTCTAATTAAATCTCTTTTTTCTCATGTTCTCCGTTGTTTCTGCAGGATCTATTCAAAGATCCCAGGGACTGGGGCCTCTGCAAGTTCCAAAGCCAAAGCCGAATGAGCCCCTCTTCTGGCCGGCCCGGGACCCGCCTGCCCACAGCACCCCGGTGCCCTCTTTCAACTACCCTGCCTGCCCCCCTCCCTGCCAGCCTCCCCAGTCCTGGGTCATACACACAGACGCACACACATAACACATACACACACCTTCCAGCTCTGGTGAACCTAGCTAGGGCCTCTCCATGCTCAAATACCAAACTCCCTTTCATCCCTGCTTCGCCCCCCCACCCCCCATGGCCTTTAGGATGACATGCACCCATCTGGGAGTCTGCAGATGGTCCCTGGGTGCCTAGAAAGGCCAGAGACTTGTAGTACCCTAGACAGGGCAGCCATCCCTGATGCCAGGAACTCACCCATGTCACTCCCTATCCCTCCTTCCCTGCTGGGGTGTTGAGTTGTGTGTGGGGGGGTATCTCCTTGTCTGCCACCCTGTCCCCACCCCTGGGGCATTTCATGGGGTTGAGGAAAGAACTGAGCTTGGGTTTACACTTTAATAAAAACTTGTGGAAAACATGTGGACTCAACTAGTCATTTGGACAGTCAGCAAACATTATTGGTCAAAGTCTCCTCCTCCCCTGGTCCTGCTGAGTCAATGACCTGGAGAGCTGCTATAACAGAGAAGCAGTGTGCCATAGAGGAGAGAATGCTTGGAAAGGTGAGGCAATGGCACAGACAGAAAAGACACGGCCTCAGGCATTATCTAGGTTCAGATGATCCCTCTCTTATTACCCAGATGACATTGGGTAAGTCACCAAAGTTCTCTGATCCTCAGTTTACTTACATAGTAAGGGGTACCTTCTGGCTGTAGCTCTTTGATCCTATGACCTCAGTTTGACTCCCTAGGTCTTAATAGCTGAGCAACTCACTTTCCCCTTTCTGGGTTTCAGTTTCCCAATCTGTAAAATGGGGTAATAATACTGATGATACTTCATGCCTCACAGAGCTGCGTCGAGAAAAGCATGTCCTAATGCCCTGGAGAAATGGGAGTCGTCAGTGGGCAGCACCATGGAGAGAGCACTGGGGTGGGAGAACACTTTGGAGGCCTGGATTCCGGGTTTGTGGATTGGCTGAACGGATAAATCATTAGAGGGACCAGCTGTCCCCTCTCTAGAATGAAAGGATCAGACCAGTTGACTTCCAAAAGTCCTTCCAGGTCTGAGGTGCTGTCATTCTAGAATTGCTCGGAGGTCCAAACTAATCAGTCCACAATTATTTAGCTTACTATATGTCGGACTGTGTCTGGTTGGGATCAGGTGGTGAATATAATGGACCCAAGCCCTTCCTGTCCAAGCCCTGCTAACCAACCTTCTCCCAGAGGTCTGATGTCCCTGACCATGGTGGGTTTTCTGGAGACTCCCATTGAAAGGTAAACGTTCCCTAGGAGAGGGCACATAATTAGCCATGATAGGACTAGGCAGCTGGGAGGCTCAGGGGATAGAAGCCTGCTGGGCCTCTAGTCAGGAAGACCTCAGATACTTACTAGCTATGTGACCCTGAGTAAATCCCTGTTTGCCTCAGTTTCCCTGCTGTAAAATGGGTATTATAATAGCATCTAGGGGAGTGTTGTTTTGTGCTCTGTACAAAATACTTGTTCCCTTCCTGCCCCTCTTTCTAGAGACCCCAAGATATCTGTAGATATATCTCAAGGATACATGAACTTGAATATGGAAAAAGTTACATCTTTATTTCAACATAATTGGTTGCCTTTTTAATCATCTATAGTATTTTATGCACTAAAAGCACAATTCTGAGAAAGAGTATCCATAGGTTTCCCCAGACTGCCACCCAGAAGGTGATGAGCTCCAACAGATGGGAAAATAAATTGAGACTCAAGAAAAGGAAAGGAATTATCCAAGGTCATAGCTAGGGGGGGGGCAGAGCCAGCAATACAATGCTGGGAGCCAGGGTATGTTCTTGAGCTAGAGAGGGACCCTGTGGAGGTGGGCTGGAGGGATTGGGGCCTTGAGGAAGTTTGTGGGACTCAGGATCCAGGCCAGGGGCTGGCGAAGGCGACAGTCCCACCTAAAACCGCAAGATGTCGCCCAAACCCCAGTGTTTTCAACCCGAACTAGTAGGTATGGCGACAACAGAAGGCCGCGTCTACACGGACAAGGAGCCGGATATTTCTGGGTTCTGGGCATGATCCGGAGAATTGGCATCAATTTTCCAAAGGGTGGATATGCTCTTAAATTCTCTAGATCTGCTGCTACGGCCGCTTCTCTCCCGGGTTACAGTGCACGCTGCTGTCATTGACCAGCTGTGCGGCCTCGGGCAAGTGACTTCCCCCCTCTGGGCCTCAGTTTCCCCGTCTGTAAAATGAGGTGAGGTGGGCCAGCTCAGCTCTCATGGCCGGTCTCCAACATCCCACGCAATCTTCAGGGGCCTTTCCAGCCTTGGCTGGAGCAGGAAGGAAACCTCGGGGGCTGTGAGGGCCGAAGGAGGTGGGGAAGAGCAACCCGTCCCCCACCCCCAGCCCACCCCCACCCCGAAAGCCACAGCACCACGCTGGAGATAAACTGAGCACTCTAATGCCCGGAACGCTCCTGCAGGGGAAATCTCTCCCAGAATCCTCTGCGGGATGCAAATGAGGGACTCCTTTTAGCACGAGGTGTCATTCGTATCATCAAGAAAAATAGAGGAAAAAAATTGAGAGAAAAACAGAGATTTCCGAAGTTATCATACTTCACTAAGATGTTAAGTTCAATCACAGAACTCAACACAAAAATGTTTTCATCCTATGCAAAAAATATATAGAACATTAAGCTTTATATAGCTCCTCATAAAACCCAGGGAGCTGCCCGGATGACCCTCAGTGGTCTGGGGTGCAGGCTTCAAACCTGTAGCTGTCTAGCGACAGAGTGGTTCAATTCCACCTTCCGGGCGTCATCCACAGCTTCATTTTGCACACTGTGGGTATCACTGATCTTCCTCCTTTTTTGTTTCTCTACTTGTACCACCCCTCCCTTTCCACTTCGTGGGGGCTGCAGGGTGACCTTACGCGAAACTAATGAACCCTGTGGCCAGGGCAGAGAAAGCATGTCTGATGCTGCACCTCTAATGCCCATTTCTGCCAAGAGATCTCTCTGGGCTCCCATCTTTCTATCTCCCACCCTCTCCCTTGGGTCAGGTCTCTCAGGCCCTCACGCTGGCTCTCCGGCTCTCTTAGCCACTTCTCCACCATTCCCCCTGAATCTCCCTCTTACAGCCCAGCTCTGCCCATCCCTCCCCACAAAGAGGTTCTGTGCTTTTCTCACAGCCTCTTTCCCAAAAGATCATAAAACTTAGCCCTTAGAGACCATCTAGCCCAACCCGACCATGTTACAGAGAGGGAAATTGAGGGCTAGAGGGAGGAAAGGAAATTCCTCAAGTCAGCAGCGAGAAGCAGAGACTTTTTTCTGCCTCCATCTCCATCTTTTTCAATCTCTCCTTCTCTCTGATCCTCCCAGAGTCTCTCCCCATCCACCCTGGAACCTGCTTATACACATGAGAGAGTGTGTCTGTCTCTTTGCTGCTTGTGTTTCTCTGTCTCACTCTATGTCTCTGAGTCCATCTCTCTGTGTCTCTGTCTCTGCTTCTGAGTATCTCTTTTGTGTGTTTCTAATGTACTTTGTGATTCTATCCCTGTCACTGTTACTCTCTGTGTGACTCTCCGTTACCGTGTCTCTACGTGTAAATTTGTCTTTGGATCTCACTGTCTCTTTGCTCCTCTGAGTGTCTTTGTCTGTAGATCTCTCTCTCCTTCTCTTTGCTCTTTGTTTTTTCTCTCTGTGTCTCTCTCAATCTCTGTATTTCTCTGTCTCAGTCTCTCCATGTTCTCTATCTTGTCCCCTGCCCCCAGCCTCAGTACCTTCATGAGGGAGTCATACATCTGCTCGGTGTTGAGCTGCAGGTAGTTGCCGATGAAAGGCAGGGGGGTGGGCCCAGGGGGAAGGCCGCTGCTAGCTTTCCTCTGTCTCCATACAGAGAGCACCACCAAGGCTGAGAGGGAAAGCAAGAGGGACCCCAGCAGCAGCCCGGAAGCCAGCATGGTGGAGGTGGCAGAGGCCTTGCTGCAGTGTTGGCTGGGATTGGAGCAGATGTTGAGCCAGGACTGGGGTCCAGATAAGGCTGCTCCCGACTTTTATGCTTGGGCCTGGGGGGGTGGAGATTCTCATTGGCACTGATCTCAGCTCTTTTATGCAACATGCCGAGTTCTAACCCAATTCTCCATTTAGCTCCAGGACTGGCCAAATGTGAATGTCACAGAGGGAGAAAGATTTAGTTCAGTAGAGACTCAGAGATTTGAAGATCCCAAGGGGTAAAAGTTGGAGTGTGGGAGCTTCAAAGGGATATCATAGCCCAGAGATGGAGTTTGGGGTCTCAGAATGCAATGATAGAAGTTGTGAGGGATCTAGTAATAGGACCTGGAGGGCAAGATGTCTCAAGACTTGAAGATGAGGCTGTAGGGGGTGAAAGGAGAGGGTAAGACTAGATCTATTACTGGCTGTGACCTTAAGTGAGTCCCTCCCTCTCTCTGGGCCATCCACTTTCCTTTCTGTGAGGAGAGAACTATATGATCAGATAAACCCTAAGGACCTAATATCCCTCAATGGGATATTTTCTGCAGCCGTGGGACATGGGATCCTGCACCTATTGTTTACCAAGTATTCCTTTAAACACAAAATTCATAACAAACTCAGAACTGATCCAAATGTGAGGTAAATAACTCTGTAACCCAAACCCCAATATATGACCTATACATACTTTGACCTAATTAGGGAGCTAGAAGGGGCAATAATTAGATCTTTGGATTTGGAGTTGGGATCCTCTAACGTGGGGATTCTCTAAGCTCATTTGTGTTCTTGTTTTGTTGTGAAGGTATTTTTGATGATAGACTTAAAATTATCCACAAATATGAACATTTCTGACCTCTTGATTTTGCAGATAAAGAAATTGAGAGGTGAAGTTCAGACAGCTAGCCAGTGGCAAAGCTCGGATTTGAATCCATGTCATCTGATTCTCTATCCGGGAGGGTGGCCATGGACAGCACCCCCAGTTTGGGTAACTGCTATATCTGCCTCTGGGCAACAGTTTGGGGGAGGAGAGAGGGAGTAGAGCTAGCAAGCAGAAATAAGTGGATCATGATGTTTTTTAGGGAGATGCAGGGAAGGGCAGGTTAGGCAAGTGTTGGAAACTATTTGGGACTGACAATTATTTTTACCTGGGTTGACCAAGATCCCAATGGCCCTCTTTCTCCTTCCCCTCTAGAGATAACCATAGGTACCCACTCTCTAAGGTCATAGCCTAGCAGAACTCAGCGTTGGGGAGAAGCCTAGGAAACCAGGACAATCTTTCTTACGTCTACTTTTGGTAAGAGGGGGCCAGGGTGGGCAGGGGTACACTGGAAGGAATTCTAAGAGATTCCAATAACCATGGTTAGAGTTTTGGTGTGAGTATTTATGTCTCAGAAATCAGTGATTGCTATAAATCAGAGCTTGATGTTCATAATTTGTTCATAATTTGCAAGTAGTTGCCGATGAAAGGCAGGGGGGTGGGCCCAGGGGGAAGGCTGCTGCTAGCTTTCCTCTGTCTCCATACAGAGAGCACCACCAAGGCTTTGTTTTGTTCATAATTTGGACATACAGAATTATTAATAATGCAGATAAACTTAAAAGCGTGCGTTCATGAGTGAGGTCTCTCTGCCCTTCCCCCCCTTCACCTTAAATATTTACTGGCTCACTCTTGTATTGCTCAATGGTTGACCGATTTATTGACTTTGGTTCTAAAAGACCAAAATGATATCACTATGTTGGGGTCAAAGTACAGTACAATGAGTCTGACTTTGTGATCAGACCAATACCAGCTTGCAAGGCTTTCATAGGCAGAGCCACGAATAGTCCAGATAAACATTTGGAGTTGAGATGTCTCTAAATTTGCTCATCTTGTGTTTCTTTTGAGCTACTGCAATTCTGCTTTGCTCATAAAGCAGTCTCTCCATGCACCTTCTTTTATGTGGTCACACCATGCTGGATGATGCTATGCTAGTGTGTCTTATGTCTCATAGATGATTCACTCAATACACAGCTTGTGAACTCAGCAGAAATGCAGTAGAAGGCTGCAGGGGTGGGGAACCTATGGCCTCAAGGGCACATGTGGCCCTCTGGGTCCTCAGGTGCATCTCTTTGACTGAATTCTAAACTTTACAGAACAAATGACTTTAATAAAAGGATTTGTTCTGTAAAACTGGACTCAGTCAAAAGACCACACTTGAGGACCTAGAAGGCCACATGTGACCTCGAGTCCACAGGTTCCCCACCCCTGGTAGGGAACAAAGTCAACAGCAGACTGGGCGCTTGGTGATTCGTTGTTAATTAGTCATATAACTTTAAGGTCTGCAATGTGTCTTCCATCCATGATTTCATCTAACTTTCATAATGCCCTACAATGTGAAGAGGTTGGCAAGAAACTAACTGGAGCAAGGCTGATATGTGTATGGGGTTTGTGTGGAAATGGAGAATGGACTGACTTTGGAGGTCAGTGACCTCAAAAAGAAAAGCCCTGGGGATGGGAGGCACAGCACTTGAGCCAAGGGTCAGTCAGGTCTGGAGGAGTCATGCAAGAGCTCCTGAGAACAGGCTTAGCTAAAATCTATCCCTGGTGCTATATCCCAAAGAGATCATACAAATGGGAAAAGGACTCATATGTACAAAAATATTCATAGCAAATCTTTTTGTGGTGGCAAAGAACTGGAAATTGAGAGGATGCCCATCAATTGGGGAATGGCTGAGCAAATTGTGGTATATGAATGTAATGGAATACTATTGCGCTATAAGAAATGATGAACAGAAAAACTTGGAAAGACTTGTATGGCCTGATGCTGAG